CTGACCAACTGACCAATCAACCTTTTCTTTAGAAAGGGACTTGACTCAGAAGACCTGGGCTTTGCCACTTACTTAACTCTATGACTTTGGGCAGCTCACTTAACTTTACACAGCCTCAGTTTCCTAATCTGTAAAATGGATATGATAACCCCTGTCTTCTTTATTTCTCAAGATTATCAGGGGTTCAAATATGCTCATTTCTATTTTAAGTGTAAAACATTATACAAAGATAAAACATCATTTGTAAGAGGGTAACTTGTATAATCTACTCTCTTCGGATGCTGTAAAGTTCGCCAAGGACATCACGACCTAGATGGGTTTTATAGTATCAGAAGCCTCCTCCACAACCACCGGTCCATTCAGTGCTCACTGAGTCTCGGCCAGGCTCAGAGCAGATTAGAGTCCAGTGGGTAATGGCAACAACCTCATCACACAGGTAGATGAAGCCTCTTTTGGAAGATGAGCTTTCTCTGTGGCCAGAGACTTCTTCAGGGATGAGCGTAAGCTCTACTCTGGGGCGGAGTCACTGATGCTCAGCCACTGCAAGGCAGGGTGGATAGCACAATGGTCAGACACACAGGCCCTAACGTCTGACAGGCCTGGGCTTACACCTTGGCTTCCACACTTGCTTAGCATCTCTTAACCTTGGTCTTCTGATCTAAAAACAAGCATAATAATAGCACCCGCCTAATATGTGGGTTGTATAAGGGTTCGTGTAAAGCACATGGGGTCAGGCTTGATACATTCTGGACGTTCTGATCGTATTGTTATATGCACTATAGTTACCTGCTGACCCACCTGTGTTCCCTAATAAAGTTGGAGCTCTTTGCTACTCATCCTATCACCTCTGGGCTTAGTGTCTGGCACAAAGCAGTTACTGACTAAATACTTGCTGAATTTACTTCTAGTTGATTTTTGCTGAAAGTATAACTGATAGCTAAGGTAATGGCTGATGAGGACTTAGGATGTGACCTGTCACATTATTACTCCTTCCTAAAAGATTCTGCAAGAACAAGACCTTTTAATGGAAGGCTGGGGTGTGGAGGGATGGGCCCTTCCTATGTCCCCTTACAGGACCTGTCTCCTCCCCGCTATGCACGAGGCTGCCTGGGCCAGGCTTGGCAGAGAGCCCCACTTTCCAGACCCCATAAAATCAAATCCCTCAAGAGAACTTGAGGGTCATTTAGCCCCCCTTCTTTTACAAACGAGGAAACTGAGGCAGACAGAGGATCAGAATTCATGACCCCTGACTTCTGACCAGTGCTCCTCACACCAAATTCCCACCGGCCACATTGGGAATGCGTGGGAATCCCAGGGTTAGCCCTTTCTAGTAAAACAAGGGGGAGAAAATAGAAGACAACACATTATCGGCAGAAGTCTAGTTTTATGAAACTACCTTTCTAAATCACAATCTAACAAGAACGCTTCCAGCCAAATAAAGGAAGCTGGAAATACTCCTTTTCACTGGAGAATATAATTTTGCTTCCGCCACAATTTAAATCGATTTCGTTCTGAGCACCGGCACTGGAAGTGTGGAGCATATTCTATTTTTGCCATGATACTTGTTTTGACAGTGATGCATTTCAGTTGACATAGTTGAAATCCTTATGTAATAAATCTCTGCCTGAAAATTAATCATGTTTATAATATTCTGAGAATTAATAACACCCATTGCTCAAATCATTAACTTAAAAAAGGAGCTTCCAAAATCTGTTCTCGGCAGTAAGGGACCACAAACAAATGAATGTTTGATAAAATAATCCAAGTAGCAGTTTAACAAGCGTAAACTTGAATGCGGCTGCAATAACACAGAACTATTGTTTAAGGGTTGGCAGAGGCTGATGGGGTTCTTATTTCAGTTACGAAGCAGGCATCCACATGCATAATGAACTGCTCTCTGAATTATTAATGTGCTGCTTATTTAGCCTCATCTGTCTGGAAGATAATGTATCCTAACTCTAATGAGTGATTGGTTTTGTATATAATTACAGTAGCAGCAGTAGTGGGGGAAATGTGTGCCTTCAAAGGAGGAATTCTAAAAATAAAGTCATCACATAAACTTGGTGGTTGCTGCATTCTATCAAAATCAAACCCGAAGCATCGGAGAATTCATAATAAATTACAGGGGACAGAATCATTATTAACATCATAATTTAACACAAAAGGTTTTACTTAATCATTCATTACAGATCGTGTGCTGTTAAAAATGCTTATAAATGACTTGGGTTGTTTGAAGATGTTTGCAAAGATGGTCTCTTTTGGCCACTCACCAACTGCGGTGCGGAGGGGCCCACAGAGAGAGAGGAGGCGTAAAAACAGGTCGGAAAGGGTAACCCCTTATGCCTATCCTGACAGAACGTTACAGTAAAAGTTGTTAGGTGACTTCTTTTCATTTCTAACACATGCACCTCTGGGACTCATCACGTCTTGTTTCTGAATTCAATGGGTCATCTGTGGAGGGCCCTGGGTCAGAAACCCATGCACCTGGCCTAAATGGGTCTCAATGACAGTTCTTTGCCACCTGCTTCAGACATGGGACGACAGCTCTTCTTCAAGTCCGGAGAAGTTTTTGCTTCCCCCATGCATAGCATGTTACTTAAAGGGACCGGCCCAAAGGAAGCATTTTCCAGGCGTTAATTCTGGATGGGCCCTCATTATGGTTTCATCTGTGTGGTTCCTTTCTCTTCCGTCTTCAAAGGGAGCTGTCAACGGACTGATCATAAACCTGACAGCATCACAGCCTGTTCACACATGTTCAGGAAGCTTCAGTTTGATGGTCAATTGCACTGTGTGTACACTAAGGCCCATCGGGTCTCTTGACTTTTTAAAAATCACCTATCACGGCTCTGGCCCGGTAGCTCAGGTGGTTAGAGTGTTGTCTGGATATGCCGAGGTTGTGGGTTTGATCCCCAGTCAGGGCACATGGAAGAACCAACCAATGAATGCGCAAATAAGTGGAACAACAAATCAATGTTTCTCTCCCCCTCTCTCCCCTTTGCTCTCTCTCTAAAATCAATTTAAAAAGATAATCGCCTATCATGTATGTACACGTGCATGGGAGCATGTGTGCGAACACACATGCACAGTGGCACTAGGGTGAGAACATTTATTTATCTTCCTAAAACCAAAAGCACTTTCAATTTACCCCACGTCAGAAAACCTGCCTAGCTTTCTTCAGTGATTGCAGAGACATTTGAATTATTGAAGATCATAATGCTTCCCTCTTGAGTGCAGGCAATTCCTAAAAGTGTTTAAGACTCTTGATCACAGGAGAATTCCCATATGCTGCCTGTAGCTGGGACTGAAACCTGCAGGCAAGATGGGGACAATAAAAGAGCGCTTCTCATTCTAAGCACAACTTCTGCTTACGGCCTTCCGAAGCAACATACTTAAACGGAGCGAATTGTCGTGGCAAGTCTCCTGTTGAACACTAACACAGCTTCCAGCTTCCTTTTAGAAACGTCACGGAGTTGGGTTCGCTAAGCCAGAAGGACTCCAGTTTTACGGCTGTCCTTCCCTCTAGCATTGAATTTGGGATCGATCCTGGAGGTCCCTTTGGTTGGATGAAGGCTATAGGTGGTGTTGGACCTCAGAGCTTCTCAGCAGGTCCTGGGGCCTGATGAAAGCGGGTCTGTTTCTCCTCCCGAGTCCAGCTCTACTTCTCTTCTTAATGAGCAGAAAGATCAGGGGGGCTCCTGCGAGCAAGGGTACCCCACACGACAGGTGGGTTGAGGAGGAGAAAAAGGCTGCTACCTAAGTCCCCCAGGACATCTGGCACCCTCTCCAGGCTACCCTTCCAAATGTACACTGCGTTCCTGTCAAGGAGGGTGACACTGGGGACCCTGGGGGACTGTCAAACAAGGGCTATTTAAGTCCAGAGGCATCTCCGGGACCCAGAGAGGCTCAGCAGAGGTGGGAGATACTGCTCTGAAAAGGTACCTAGGGCACCAGTGTGGGGTCCTATTAGCCGCTGGCATTCCTCTTTCATCTGTTTGGTATATTTGGACCTCAAGTCAAGCTCCCTTTGCAAAAAGGGTATGAAGCCCACTGTTGCGAGGCAGAAGAAACCTCTGGCAGCTGTCAGAGCAGCTGTGGCCGAGCCCCATCCCCTCTCATATCCCAACACACTAAGGCCCATCTGGTCTCTTGACTGTTGTTCTCCTTCTCCATGACTGACCTAGCCCACCGTCCCCATGGAGATGTACCCTCTGTGACCCAGGGATCTGAGGCTGGCAGACCTCCGCCAGCCCCAGGACTGCTGGCTGACAGGCGGACACGTGTGTCCGATAGGCCTCTGGCCTGACCCACCAAGGGGAAGTATAGGGAAGGGAGATGACAAATGCGGTTTTGGACAGTGTGACCATGAGGACTTTATAGGGAAGTTCTGGAGACTATATTGGGTTTAGGAATCTGAAGCTAAAAAAACATGCGGTTAGAAAAATCTGGGTTTTGTCAGAAGTTGCTGGTAATGGAAGCAGCTGTACTTGCCCAGGGAAGCGAGCTGAGGAGAGAACCGAGGGAAACACCACACAGATGTAAGCCTGGAACACCCCGCGCTCTCCCCCTCCCACCCAGACCCTCCTCCTCCTGGAATGCCCTCTCCCCTCTCCTGTGCATTTATGGTCCAGACACACATTTTGAAGAGGTGAAGTGACTTGCCTGAGGTTCTTTCCTCTCTCTAAACCAGTGGTTCTCAACCTTGGCTGCACATTAGACTCACCTGGGAATCTTTTAAAAATCCTGATTTCTGGGCCTCACCCTCCGGAAATTCTGTTTCTTTGCTACTAAGGTGGTGGCCCCACCCCATAACAAAGACACAGAATTTCCGGAGGATGAGGCCCAGAAATCAGGATTTTAAAAAGATTCCCAGGTGACTCTAATGTGCGGCCAAGGCTGAGAACCACTGCTCTAAACCGAAGGGCCTGGCACATCGCGAGAGCTCAGGAAGCGGAGGCCCAGTGCTGCCGAACACGGGAGCACCGGCAGCTGCTGTTGCTTACCGGCACGGACAGGGCAGTCAGGGGGCTCTTCTTCTTCTCTTCCTTGGGGAAGCGCGGGGGCACTGTCAGGGTGCTGATACTGCAGTCCAGGTGGCCGTCGGTCAGGTACAAGGCGAGCTGAGTCAGGGCCAGCTGGTCGCTGTACGCCAGGTCGAGGCCTGTTGCCCACACCTGATTAAAGCAGGAGGGTGGCGGGGAGAGATTAGCCACAAGGGGGAGGAAGCCACACCCACCCAGCCCGGCCCAAACCACACCAGACCCAACTGAACCAGCGGGTGGGTGTTTTTGCTTCTGTTTCTACTTCCTGCAGCGGAAGGATGGCACCTCCAGTCTGGGTGGAATCAAAAGAGTCAAGGTTCTTGTGGGAAGTTCCACAAGGGAAGGCGCCTGGCTACGGCAGTCTGGTCGCTGTGCCCCGAGCCACGGTGCTCCTGTGGACTCGGAGTTGTCTGCCGTTTCTAAGATGGCCATGCAGTGTTTTCCACTGAGAAATGAGACTGGACAGAAGCGTGAGGGGATGGGCAACTCACGGACAGCAAACAGAGGGGGAAGAGTGAGCAAATATGAGAAAAGGGCAGTTGGCCCTGGTTCCGGAAAAAGCAGTGCTGGCCTCCGGGGGAATTGCAATGTGACACTTAAGGGAAACTTGAGGTTGGCATGTCCGTCTTAGTTCCACCACTGCTTTACCGTGAGAGGCAGGAAAGTCACTTTGCTGCCCCACGATGCCATAGTATCCCAGCTGGGAAACAATGGTAACACCCACAGGCTGAAGTGCAGGGTTATTAGAAGAACACTGTGACGCAATCAAAGTTAGAATGCTTTGAAAGTAGACATATGTACACTATATGTTACTACAAGCTACTACTTAGTGACGGGCACTAAATCCTTGGACATATTTACTGAGCATCTACTAGGTGCTGCACTAGAGATGGCAAAAGTGGGTCATGTACTACCTCCCCCCTCCCCTTGCTTGCCCTGCTATCCCCAAGCCCACACTGAGGCCAGAGCACGCTAGAGTCCTCCTCAGTTCGATGCTCAAGGCATATTCCTGTGCTAGGCATCGGGGTGTCAAAGGTAAATGGGCACAAGTTCTGGGATCAAGCAGGGGAGCCCAGAGACATACGTATTCAATTAATTACAGCACAGAGCAGCACTGGACATAATAAAGGGGCAGAACAGAGTGCTGCTGAAGCGGAAAGGAAGGACAGACTGCGTTGGTCCAGTGAAGTCAGGGCTGCATCGTGGAGAAGTGACATTTGAGCTTTGAAAAGCAACACAGACATGACTGCCTCCTGCGTACCGAGTGCCTACAATGTGCCAGGTGCTTCACAACCACCCCAGATCTTTATGGCACCCTAAAGAGTAACACCCCCATGCCATAGATGGGGAAACAGAGGTTCCGAGAGGCACCCAGTGCCACCCAGCTAGGAAGGGGCGGTGCTGGGACTGGAACCCAGTTCTGCCTGGCTTCCGGTCCACCCTCTTCCCATTCCCTGCTGGAGGCGACGGCGCTGGTCTTGGCCCACCCAGTCCTCTCCCTGTACCAGTTTCCCAGTCAAGTTAGAAGTTAAAGTTGCTGAGGATCAAAACATGTTCTGGTTTAATATAATCCATGCCACGGAAATGTCTTGCGGAGAAAACATGAAGTATTGTATTTCTGGAGTATGCTGTAATTAGCAGTAATGCATTTTCACTGTAGGAAGTTGGAAACGAACACATTTTCCAAAGACTTGATTAAACATTTTTCTTCCTCTTAGAAGGCCTCCATGTGCCCCCCACACCAACTCGGTATGGCAAAATACATAATACATCTGCCCTAGAGTGGACTCCTCTCAAACAAATCTAGCAGCGAGTGACTTGAGTAAGCATTGAATGTAAATGGCGTCATTATAAGGATATTAGGAGGTCAAGCTGTCAGGGCCCCTTGCTAAACTGAAGCTAATTTCAGGAGTCATATTCGCACAGCAATGCCCTTTTATAATAGCAAATAAATCACATTTGCAACAATTGTTAAAAACTAACTGCCAAGTATCTGTTGCAGCTGTAAATATCCTATTTGTCAACTTAGATATTTCCTGCTGTATGGCATAACATGCAAATCAGATGGGGACAGCCACTCTGCCTTCGTACCCGAGAGGGAACTTGCTGTCCTCACGTGTCAGGCAATTTTCTCAGACCCCTGATCTTGGTGTTTTAGTGGCCTGATCAAAGGGAAGTAAATACAGCAAATGTGATGAATATCTATGTTAATGATATTAATGCGGTGGTGATAGGGTGTTAACGAGAAGGTCACCATTTAAGGCAACGGTTCTCAACTGTGGGTCACGACCCCTTTGGCGGTCTAACGACCCTTTCACAGGGGTCGCCTAAGACCATCCTGCATATCAGATATTTACATTACGATTCATAACAGTAGCAACATTACAGTTATGAAGTAGCAACGAAAATAATCTTATGGTTGGGTCACAACATGAGGAACTGTATTTAAAGGGCCAGAAGGTTGAGAACCACTGATGTAAGGGAAAGAGTGAGAGCCAAGGAGTCAGAGGGCCTGCATCTGGCCCTCACAGAGAGTGTAAACTTGAACAACTTATTTAAGTTCCCTCCAACTCAGTATCCTTAAGTGCAAAAGGAGCAAATGATAACATTTATGGGACTTTGGAAACAAAATAGAATAAATGCACATAAAGTTGCCCATCACATGATAAAGTTCGATACAAATGTTACTTACAATTATCAAACGTCTCCTGTAGGAGGAGTAGGATCTTAGGAGACACATTGTCAGTGGCCTGTGTAGCTATAAGATTGCTCCATTTAATAACTGTTTTCCCCATTCATAATCATGGTGTGCAACCTCACAACTCAGTGTAGTAGGTGGTTAGGTTTGGGCAAGATTGGTGTTACTCTAGCTCCATTTGACCACTGATAATACCGAGATCAAAAATGGTTTCAGGCCTGGCTAGAGGTCTCAGTTGGTTGGAGCATCGTCCTGTACACCAAAAGTCATGGGTTTTCTTTCCTGTCAGGGTACATACCTAGGTTTTGGGTTTGATCCCCAGTTAGGGCACATCCAGGTGGCAACTGACTGATGTTTCTCTCTCACATCAATGTTTTGTGTGTGTGTGTGTGTGTGTGTGTGTGTGTGTGTGTGTGTGTTTATTGATTTCAGAGAGGAAGGGATAGGGAGAGAGAGACAGAAACATCAATGATGAGAGAGAATCACTGATCAGCTGCCTCCTGCATGCCTCACACTGGGGATCGAGCCTGCAACCTGGGCATGTGCCCTGACTGGGAATCAAACCGTGACCTCCTGGTTCATAGGTCAACGCTCAACCATTGATCCACGCCTGTCAGCCTCGATGTTTTTCTCCCCCCCTCCCTCTCTCTAAGAATCAATTTTAAAAAACAAACCAAAACAAGACATATCCTTGGGTGAGGATTCAACAAATATAGGGAGCTTCAGTGTTTGCCTAAGATCATAGAGCACCGGCCAGAGTGCTGGTCTTCCAGAGCCAAGGCCTTTGGCTTCCCCAGGCTGCCCTGACCCCTGGGCTCACAAGAGAAATAGAACACGTTTGTTTCTTTAAGCCTTTCGTCGACAGCAGGCCTGCCTGAATTGCTCAGATAATGGTTCTGCTCTCCATCTGGATTTCCCACTGCAGACGCCGCCCGAGGCAAGCTTGTTTTGTGTGCAGGGGCTCCTGTCTCCCCCTCTAGACTGTCAGCCCCTTTGGGGAAGCTGCAGAGTCTGTGTCTTCCCACGGCACCCAGGGCACCCAGTGTCCGGGGCAGGGTGAGGCTCCCCTTCACTGTGAACTCCTTGGCAACCTTTCAGGAACAGGGTGGGTCTCCTGAAGCTGGCTTCAGATTCAAACGCAGCAAACATTCACTGGGCATCTCCTCGGGGCCAGCCCCCGGCTTTCCCACACACCTCACGAACCCTATTCTTGATTTGGGACTTCAATGTTCCCTTCAGAGTCTCGGCTCTCTCTGCACTGGATGCGCCCATCACAGGTCAGAGGAGTGCTGATGGCGACCTGCACAAAGGCACCGTGAGTGGGGATGGGGAGGAGGGGGTGGGTTTTTAGATGTTCAGGAGGTGGCTTTGATATGACTTGCAGGACTTGTAATGGCCAGCTTGATAGGTTAATTGATTAGATCTGAGGGTGAGGAGAAGACATCACTGAAGGTTAGAGCTGGGAAGACCCTTAAAAATCATCGAATACCATCAGTTTACTTTATAAATGGAGCAACTCTGGTCTGAGAAGTGGTTTGCCCTAGGTGACCGAGCCAGGTACCGACGGTGTGGGATGAGAAACCACGGTGTTCCAGCTCCCACTCAGAAATCACTTGTTGATATTGTTTGACTGATGGATGATATTCAAAAATCATTTTGTTAAAAATGGCTAGAATACCAGAGAGATTTACACCAAGGCCTTGAGAAGCACAAGCAACATAAAAATACTCATCTCAGCATTACTTGTCATATTGAAAAATCGCAGCTGTCCAACATCTAGGCCTTGGTTAAGAAGCTTATGACACATTCAAGTGATAGGCTAGTCTATGGGATTATCACTGAAGATAATGATTGTGAATAACGTTTGAGGACATAACAAGATACCACAAAAGAGCAAGGGAAGGATATACAGTCGTAGGGGCAATGTGACTTCCACTTTGCAAAAATAATATTATGCATAGAAAAGACGAGATGAGCATATAACAAAATGTGAATAGTCTATTGTTAATACTAGCAGAATTATGGCAAGTGCAATTACATGGACTTTCATGTATTTCTAGATCAATGTATTTCATGATCTAATATGGAAGCCACTAGCCACTTGTGGCTATTGAGCCCTTGAAATGGGGCTGATTCAAACTGAGATGTGCTATACACGTAAAATACATACCAGCTATCGAAGACAAAGGAGATAAACAGAATGTGAACTATCTCATAAATAATACTTTATGCTGGTTACATGTCTGAGGCTAATATTTGGGTTATATTAAATGAAATATGTTCACCTATTTTTAAATGAGGCTACAGAAAATAAAAAGGACACATGTGACTTACATTCTATTTCGATTGAATTGGCTGGGAAAAGTCCCTGGCACTTCGGCAGGGGCAGGGCCAGAGGGTGGGTGGGGAGCAGTGCTGCGGAGGCCCGGCTCTC